ATCTCCAATACTGATCCACTTGGCAGGATGCTGCACAAGGGAACAAGCCTTCCCAACAGAATAAAAGGACAGAAATTCTGCAAGAGATCATTTGAGATATCCTCCTCAAAATTTCAGTCTATGGATTTAACTTGCAAAGGCAATGACCTGCGCCTATAATAAAAGGGAATAGAGCAACCAATTTATTGATTTTTCAGAAACATATCAATGATAAAAAGACATCCTAGATGCTCCCCAACACCCAAGAAAGCCAAGTGTATTTATCATTTCTGTTTGCCTTTTACTCTTTAGACTTCTGTTACTGAGTTAACATAAAAGCTACAGTAAAATAATTGCAGTTCTTTTTTTAATCTTTGTGAGAAAAATCATCTTGGTGCATTCCCTTATTCTGTCCTGACTTACATATCATACAACCCCTGTAAAGCTTCTCTCCAGTTAAGGAACCATAGCTAATAATTAGACTTTGAAACAGCTAAAAAAATAGTTTTATAAAAAAAAAAAATCTGAAATACAAAATGGAATGAGGAAATCTGAAAAATTGACAGAAAAAAAGAAATGCTGTTCCCAGTTCAGCTATTCTCTCTAAAGAACAATCCTCAGACAATCCTCAGTTGTAGTGAGAGATGCTGTAACAATCCTTTTGGTCATTTCTGGATTTGACCTTCAGCCTTCATTGAAAATTTCTGTTCTGGCTATATCTGAAAAATCAGAAATGCTTATTGAAAGTTTAATTGAAAACTGACAAGATGGAAGTGTGTGTAGCGATGAACTAGCTGGGTATGACCATCTCTACAGAGAAATGTTCATGTTTCTTGACTCTAGAGTGAAAAAACAGAGGTTTATCATCAAGAAACTAGGAAAAATTGTTGTGCACAAATAAATAAGGAAAAATAAAGATGTAACAACAGTAAAAAAAACTCCCTGAAGACAATGAAAAGCTAAGGTTGAAAGTTGAAACACAAAACTTTCAGAAAGCTCGTTAGTTTTAATATTCAAGCAAAACTGATTCCAGTCCTGCCACCTACTAACTGTGTGTTGTAGGAAAGCAGGAAAGACTGTTCCCAGTGACAATTAGAAAGGCTGCTCTGAGGCAACATTTGGCAAAATCTTGGAAAAGCTTTCTTCATAGCAGAGGTCATATAAAGGCTCTCAGTGCCTATATGCTCTGTCTTACATACAATAAATATTGCTTGAGGAGTAAATATGTTTCTCATTTATTATTTATAATTTTTTTTCCCTATCAAGAACATCAGGACTTATGACTATGTCGGAAATTTTAGAAGCCAAAGTGTCAGAAGAGCCTGGAAAGAAGGAAAGTCTTACTTAGTAAAAGAGGAGGAGAAAAAACTGTAAAAGTGCCATGCTTGCAGTGCTAAAATCAGAGTTAGCAGCATATATATTTATCAAGATACATCAATCTACTAGACTTCAAATGATTAATTTTGAAAAAACAGAGAAATAATCAGTTTTAATGTTTAAATTAAATGATTTCCATTTTGTTATCCTACAAATCATAATCCAACAAAAATTATCCTTCACCTCAGAATTTTTAAATATTAAATATTTTATTACAAATGTTTTAATTAGCCTCTTTAATCATTATTTAGCCTTATAACTCCTTAGAAAATTCACAAATGCTTTGTTTTTCAATTGTTCTGTTCAATGTTTGGTTTGTTTGTTTTTATAAACAATGTAGCTTTTCTTCTCTCAGGCTAATGTCAAAATAAATTTGTATCACTGATCTGGTTGGAAGTGTATAAGGCATAGCATCATAATAGTGAACTTAAACATTTCAGACAAATAACAGCTCAAAAAGACAGTACAGTGAAAGTAAAATCTGTTTAATCCCATGTTTTGGTTTGCCTTCCTTGATTCTCATTAGTTTGCAAAATGAAGTTGAAAATTCCTGTTGTATATTGGCATTTCCTTTGACATTAAATACTGTGGTTGACATACAATAGCTTTTTTATGACACAGCTAATATAGATACACCAATATTTTAGTCACAGCAGTTCACTTGAAGTGCAGTTTGCAACAGAGTTCTGGCCAAGAGTCAACAGATTCGGTAGCTGACTATTTTCGGCGGAACAGAGAGCAGCATCTTTTTAACTTAGTCAAAATGTTAATCCACAACAAGGATCAAGGATTTCTCCATAAGAAAAATCTCAGCCTCAGCTTTTACCTCCTAAATTTATCAGTGGCAACTTCAGCTAGCCTAAAATCAGTCAAAGATCAAATTCCCCTGGACTTAATTATTTTTTGGCAAAATTGTGATACTAGAAAAATACAGGGAAGATGAATAAAAACCTACATTCGAGCAATCACACTGAGTCACAGATTGCACACGATACTATATTATCATTAATGGGAACTACTAAGTGCGGAAAACAGAAACCTCACAAATTGCTATCAATTCAACAACAAAGGTTAGAATGACATTTTACCAACTTTGTGAATCAACACTGCTATGCGACAACTGTGTCCTTAGCTCCGATCCACCCATCATTTTCTGTGTGCCACCTCCCTCTTCCATATTATAAACACATATTAATCATCTCCCATGGCAGTGAGTCCCCTTCCTATTTTCAACAGGCTTTTCTCCTAAGCACTGTTATTCTTCACAAGACGCTAACCAAGGGGGAAAAAACCCAAACTGGCAATTAGATAAGGCAAAGGGGTGCCGTCATACACCTGCTGACTTTTGTTGCCATGAAAAATTCCAGGGGAAGGAATCCTACCGGCAGCAATGACTATGAGAGTTTTGGGCAACAGCAGTGTCCAGCCTAAAAACCTGATGTGACTGAGGGCCTCACCACTCACATTGTGAAAGAAGAGGACTTCAGGGGCTGGCATGCAACCTTCCTGCAAAGATCTGAGATTCAGTTTGGGATTCTCTGGAGATTTAGGAGAACATGGGCAAGAGACAAACTTATTCTTCCAATGAAACCTTTCAAGGAGGAAGCTTATAAAATGAGAATATTCCAGGCCCTCCAACATTTACAGAAGAAAATATCAGTAAACCCTCTATATAGTAGTTTACATTATCAATTCAGTAGTGCGATACATAAATGAAAGAGTACTCATTGTAAAAACTCTAATGTCACCTTCATGTTCAACAGACTATGTGATAGTTTGGAAGCTATTATTTCAAAACTCACATGTTGAAATTTTCTAATTGACTGCTCATACATTTCAAAATGATTTTATAATTATCACTGAATAAGCTAAATTAACCCTGAAACTTGTAGTAGTAAGTATTAAACTGCTCTTACTTACCTATCTACTTACCTGCAAATGGACCTACCCATTACAGTAACAGCTGCCGTTCTGATGCACTGCACTCTGTTTCGATTAACACCTCTTCACAGAGCTGTTAGAGCTGTAGCATCAAACGACCTGACCCCTTACTGTGTGGTCATATCTGTGCAAATGGACACCCAGAGTTCTCCACACATTTACACACTGATGTCAAAAGTGTTTCAGGAGCTAGGGATTAGGCTCAGGCAGCTTTTCATTGAATTCCCATTTAAGCACAGATGACTTACACAGCCTTGGGTAAGTCTGCTTGTGCCTCAGTACCACATCTTTAAAATTGGCTTAATATTATCTCCCCATTTCACAGAAATACTGTAAGTGTAAACATTGTGAAGTCATGAGATACTAGACTAACAAGGTCAAGATGTTCATATCACCTTCGTATAGAGCTGTGGATACTTGTTTTTTATAATTAGTAATAAAATAAGAATCATTTCAGAAACTTAACATTATTAGGAAAAACACCTCAAGACAATCAGTAACGTATACAGTGACAAAAAGAAAATAAATATCTGTTTTTCCTATGAAACAACTTTTCATGTGAAGCCTCAGTAATGTATTCATCACAGTCGAAACAAAGCTTGAAAACTGAAACTATCACACATAAAAAGCAAACACAAAAAAGCAGAATATATTCTCCAAAGCTATGACTACCTGTTAGTCAGTGAGCAAATAACTTTTAAAATGTACACCATACCATGAAATACTCAGTTTCATTGCAACCTAGCTTGTAACATCAGGATGTTTCCTGGTTTGTATGATGCATAACCTGAAAGTTTTCAGAAAATAAGTAAATATTGCTTGTTTTTAAAAATATTCATTTTTTAATACCTATAGATACACATAGGTAGTATTTTATGTGTTTCATATATAATCATGAATGTTCAAAACACTTCAAAAAACAATTTCTCGCAGGAAATAATTTCTTGCAGGAATGGCAAGGGCAGCTGAAGTAACTTTCAGATTATTCTTCCCTTCTTTCCTTTTAGAGATTTCCTTTAGAGATTTTATAGATTTAGAAATCCTCCATGAAGATTTTTCTCCCTGGTGCGACACTTTCTGCCTAATCTGTATACGATTTGCAGTGAACCTACAAAGGACCCCCTTGCCTCAGAGTTTTTTCCATTGCTGTTTTCTTGAAAAACTGTAATACAGAGCAACATTCTGACAGTTTCTTTCTTTTTAATGTCACTTATTTCCTTTAAATGGTTACTAAATAGTGCAAATTACGAAGGAGAGATCTGTAGAACACAATGGTGCTGATGACCCAACTTCCAAGCTACATCTTTCAAGAAGTTTAGTTTAGACTGACTCCAGTTGGGTCCCTTAGACTGTTGCAAACATTAAGTGTGGTCCTACAGTGCAACTTTCACTCTAGTTTCATCCAAGACGAATCCAGTGCATCCATCTCAAGACTGCTCCAGAATATAAACCAAAGTACAGTCAGTGGGGACGATCAGAAGATTCACTGGTCCAAACTAAACAGCTAATACAAGTGTACTTATTATGTAAGGTCTATAAACCAATTTCCATCTTTAGAACTACTGGGATTTGGCACTTCCTGACTTCAGTGAAATTATTCCCCATTTGTCCATAATAAGTAAAAGCAGAATACAAGTTTAAAGGAAGTTAATAGTATATGTCTTACACCATTTACCATATATGCAAAAGATTCAGAAACTCACCATATCAGTATCTGAAACAGGTCCAAAACTGGTCACATAGATGTTAGTGAAGACTTCAGTAATACTATCTGATATAAAAAGAAAAAACAAGCAGACATTTTACATTTATAGTACTTCTTCAAATTCTCTGTGCAATATTATGGGACATTTTGAACTACTTTCTGTCCTTATTTACTTCCCCTAACCAATATCCTGTTGTAAATACTAGGCGTCTCTACCCCATTTAACACAGAAGTTATCAGATGAGTTTGTCCTACTGAGTAGTTTGTTTCAGTTAAAGGACTATACAACCATCAGCCACTACACACATATTTCCCATTTCTCCACCAGGAAAAATAACCACACTGTCTTGGATTTCACACAGTAGTACAGTTCTCATCATAAAATGCCTTTGTTGTAGAGGTGTTATCTCTGCTGTTGCAGATCATTCCTGTTAAAGCCTTTCTAGTTCGAGGCTGTTTTCTTCATCCTGAAAATAGCTTTTTCAAAGCCAAAGGCAAGAAAAAACTTACAAAGCAATTACTGACTACACCAAATGTAACACTCAACGGCATCCTACTTTTTAATTGGGTATGTTTTTAAGTGGCACATATTTTAACATAACAGTTCTTTCCCTTGATACACAATGCTCCTGATACATTGTTGTGGTACTGCAAATACTATAAGAAAATGTTCTTCCTAATCATTGTAGTCAGACAGCCATGAAATCAGAATATTAAATATTGTACTGCAGGGGAAAATAATTGCTGAGTTTTCTATCTTCAGTTTTCAATTAGGCTCAAAATAGAATGATATTCACTAAGAGGGATAGCACACACTTGCAGGAAATTTCTTATAGCAGTTGCCAACTACTGTCTGCATTCAAGACAGTCAACACGAGGAATTCTCTGCCTTAAAGCCAGTTGCTGGCTGTAAAAGAAATATTTTAATACAACTAGCTTCAGTTTGACTCACCCCAGAATTTCCCATTCCTAAAAATAATACAACTGCCTGTTATATGAGTGATCCTGCTGTTATATTATGATTTCCATATTTAATCATCATTTAATATGGATAGTTAATATTTTCTATATTCCTAAAAGCTACCTTTTCACAAATATGCGGCACAGGCAGATTTTACTTTAACTGTATTGAGGCCAACAGTATAATCACTGCCCTCTGTTGGGAGAAATCAGCAGTGCTCACCCATGACTGCAGATGCTCTACCAGCCACCAGGCAAAGGCACGACTGATCTGTGAGCGCTGCATGGGGAGCAGTGTATTTTCAAACGGATGTAGCTGCACTCAAAGCAGATATGTGGTGATACAGTACTTTCAGAAAACTTCTGGAGCATGGGGGAGGCACATTCCTGCACTCTCATCTTTAAGGAAACTTGAATTTCCTTCTCCAGCCGAATGCTAGACGTTCTTATTAGAATACAGGACTTGTAAAGCCTTTCCTACCCAAAAGAATTTTTTTTTCCAGGATCGTCTCTTCTTTTTAAGCAAATAAATAAAGGCTGACACTTATTATGTGTCACTCTGGAAGTTCAAAAGCACACTTCCCCTGCACGTCCTGAGAGATGTTTATTTGTGTGATAGAGACTTCTGTAATCCCATATGCAGCATCCATACACAAGCTGAGTTGATTTCTACTCCAAACACCTTACAAACTAATTTTAAGTCAGTGGACAACCAGAGGTGCTGAGTCTGCACTGTTCTTAGTATTCAACAAGGATAAAGTATGGGTCTGGCTGAAATATACAGAAACCACAGGTACAGTTCAGAAGACTAGTGATTGCGTGTTGCCTGTGGGAGACTCTCCAGAAAAAAAAAGATTATACTCTCCAAATGGTTACTTGGCACCGGCTGAGATGAAATGGAAAAGTGACAAGAGAGCTGCTCTTCAGGGGGTAAAACAGTGCTGCAGGGACTAACTGGAATTTGGCCTGTACTGTGAAATTTGGCCTGTACTGTTGAATTTGGCCTGTACTATAATGACAACACGAAATCTTAATTACAATTCCATGAAAACCACTGGTGTTACAAAAATGCGACTGACAATCAAGTATCCCGACAGCAGAGAACCAAGGCTAATTTCAATTATACTGGTATAATCTGAAGGAACCCTGCTACAGGCAACAAAGTCACTTGGCAGATCTTAACCTGGACACTGCCACCCCGCCAAACGGCTGGAAGCATGATCCTCTTGTAACCTCCCCCTATGGTTATCAGTTGTTTGCATCTGACATATCATTTGATATATGAGGCTGCTTCTCCTCAGGCGAGAGCCACGCCATAGCAGAGAGTGAAAGGAGTAGGTAGAATGTCTTGAAACAGGGTATGAAAGGGACAGGGGAAGCTGAAATGTTACAAGAGATGAGAAGACTGAAGGAAAAGGAAGGATAAGAAAACAGAACAAAGGAAGACAGGAAAAAAAGAAAGAGGAAAGTACACAAAAGAGGAACTGGCAGATTTTTATTTCTGCCTCCTAATTTCTCTCAAAATTCTGCATATTTTATAAGTTTCTCTTCATACCCTACATACAAGAAAACTGGTCCTTAAAGGGAAAAGAAGCTGAAATGTAATAAATCTTGAATTATTCCTGTTACCATGTTAGTGTTAGCAGCCTGAGCCTTGTGTCTGCTTCTTCTTTGTTACTTTACATAGTGTTACAATAGAGATTCCTCTGAATTACGTATTTGAACTCAGGATTTCAGAATCAGTGTCTACAAAAAGAAAAAATGAATCCTCCTTTTATACAACAAATATTTTAGTTATTGCTTTGAAAGAATACATGCTTGTCAAATAAAGACTGTATTAAAACATACCACTTTGTCCCGCTAGTAACTTGCTGAAAACAATTCAGAGGCACAAAGCACAGTTTCAGATGGACTGTCTAATCACAATTCATCCAGCAGGCACCACAGTTACAGGCTTTTTATAACTCACATTCTGTCAAGAACAGCATAAGTCATCACACAGCCCGCTGGAGATTCAAACAGCTCTGGATCATTGGTGCTTGTGGAAAAGCCAAAGGAATGTACTCCACTAAAAAATGTTCAATGCAACATGTGTTCGTGTACAAATCTAGAGTCTATTTTTTTGAGAAAAATTAAGAACAAGTTTTTTTCCACTAGAATTAGAAAATCTTTTTCTTCAACTGACATGTAAACACATAACTAAAAGGACTAATTTTCAAAAGCGCTTACATCAATAGAGGCCTAGTGCTTCTGAAAAACAGTTTAGTTTTTAAAGAAGAACCCTCTGTTGGGAGGAGGGGTGGCTGACTCATTTATACTTGTGAGCTCTTAAGTTATTCTGGATCACTGCCTTTGAAGGTTAAACAAAGAAACAGGAACAGGAAAGGGTAAGGATATAGTTTCTATTTCTGATGCTTCTTTTAGGGGAAAAAATCTCAGGCAAAGAATACATGTAGATGCCATCATCACATGAAGTGCTCTGAAATTCAGCAAATGCTATTACAGCATCATATTTAACTTGCCTTGGTCATAAATGTTAAAAGAGAAGCCTTATCTGACTTAGCTTAGGCCAAGTTCTCAGAAGATGGAAGCCAAAGGTAAACTGACAAAAAAAGAGTCAAGAAAGTTAAGAATGAAGAGAGGAAGAAAAACACATCCTATGGAAGTAGTAAAAGCAACTATTAAGATCATGTTTCACATGGTTCTCAAGCACTGGTGTTTTCTGATTCCCTTTCCTTACTTGAACTGTCATGATATCAATACCGAAAAAAAAATCAAAAAGTAAGAAAAAGCAATAAATACACCAAATTGCAGAAGATTTACATATCACTACCTATCCTTAACTGGAAGCTTTACTGTGTGCTTTAATTACACTTAGGATTTTACAAACATTAATTATAATAACCTCTCTCTGAAGATAATAATTCTATTATCTTCATTTTTCTGTACTTGGGAAGCTCAGGCACAAGGATTAAATGAAGTGTAAGTAATGTGAAGTACAGATGTTTACCAAATCTGGCTTCTGCTGTCCAACATTAAGTATCCACAGGGGAAAAAGTCAACAATTAGACAAACATTAGAAGAGGAGTTCAGAGTTTAGTTAAGGGCTGTTATCAGTGCCTTTGTCCATTCCATTACGCCAGCTCTCCTGCTGCTGGGATACCTTTTCTGATCGTCTGAAGTCCTGCTGACTTGTTCCTCAGTAGAAGAGCTGGCTCAGCTGAAGTAGGCTGCTTGGCAGAGAATTTGTAGTAGCTGAAGTCTAAATCAATCACAGGTTGAGTAATGGAGATGGTCAGAAAAGTCAGATAGAAAGGTTCCTCATCAGCATTTACCAATTTGTCAAAACTGGAAATTTCCACAGAGGCAAATCAATTTTGAATGAGTTGCTTTGGACTGCTGCCTGCCAGGCAGTGTTCAAAACTTCTCTGCTTTCTTTCAAATGTCCCTTCTCATCTGCCTGCATCTCTGAAGGGGTATGCAGGCTTCCAGTGTCTGCAACATAGCATAGCTAGACATGCAGGGTTGGGCACACCTGAGAGCTCTCCCTTTCCTGGAGAACTCTGACGCAGGATTATCTTTCTTGAAATAAATTTTCTGAATATTTCTCAAATTTGAGAATGATCTGTGTTTTGTTCATTTCTTCTCTCACCAAAATACTCTACAATCCTTTCTTTGCAGAGGATAGAGACAAAACATGCATGGATCGTTCTAGGCATGTTTAAAAGAAGAGAAGAAAGGAGTGTGATCATTGCGAAGTCTTCAGAGTGGACCATCAACAAGGTTCCAGATGTTTGTTTGCATGACGCTGGCTATATTATCCTTTAATGTGTCAAGGCTATCTTCAGAAGAAAACAGGCTAGTAGATTGGGTTGGACTTTTTCTTTTTTTATTTTAATTTTCAGTCAATAAAACTGTAAATCCAGGGTTTGGGCAGCTAAAATAAAAGCCAATCTGCTTGAGGTAATCCAAAACCATCAAAATTATTCTTGGTGCGACAGAGCTTTTAAAATATACATACGCAGTTCTAATGCATAGCATGAAACAATTTCTTACAAACATTATTTTAAATGTAGAGTAAATAGTACCCAGGAGAACACTGCAAG